AATACCCAAAGCCGTCGGGCCGCTTCGAAGATCCTGGTCCAGCAGCAGCATCGCCGGCGCCTGGCGACGGCAGCGACGACGACGACGACTCCCAGCAGTAGCAGCAGCAGCACTGGCAGCTTTTGCAATTCTGGCACAGCTTAGTTTGTCAGGTTTAAGGCCATTCGCATGTGGGATTGCTTATGGCCGCCCCGGCACTGCACGCTCGTTCTCAGTGCATCTTAGATTGCAGACCATCTCAAGTCACCATCGAAGTGTCTCGATTCGACGACGACGACGATTTTCTTTGTACATCAAGCCCGTGCGTGTAAACGCGCGGGGTCCTCGGCAGCGGGCTAGCGGGCTTGACCGCGTTCTGAATAGTTGAACTTGGAGTGCGTTGCGATGGAAATGGAAGGGGGCGCTGAGGTATATAAAGAAAGTGGGAGAGAGAGAGAGAGAGAGAGAGAGAGAGAGAGAGAGAGAGAGAGAGAGAGAGAGAGAGAGAGAGAGAGAGAGAGAGAGAGAGAGAGAGAGAGAGAGAGAGAGAGAGAGAGAGAGAGAGAGAGAGAGGAGAGAGCGAGAGAGAGAGAGAGAGAGAGAGAGAGAGAGAGAGAGAGAGAGAGAGAGAGAGAGAGAGAGAGAGAGAGAGAGAGAGAGAGGGGGCGGGCACGGGAGGTGGTCGGCATCGTCTACGACGCGGACGACGCTGCCGTGGCCGCAGCGGTAGTGGAGTGGTCTCGCGAGGCACTTTGGGGGAGGATGTGGTCGATAGGCGCAGCGCAAATGGTTTGGAGGGCTTCAGAGATCCAGAGGTGAGGTCAGGATTGATGAAATTGAACACTCTGCGACCGAACATACTTCAGGGGTCAGGGGCGAAAATAGGGCGTGCGGAACCCCTCCTGGAAAACCCCCTCCTGGAAAACCCTCTTTGGAATCCGTGACGACAGCGCAGAAGTAACGGCCCCCTCGCCCCCCCCCGCCCGCAGGCAGCCGAGGGCGTGGCCTTGCTCAATGAGATCACCGACGCCCACGGGAGCCCGGTGGGAGGACCCATGGGGGCAAATATGTCCCTCGTGGAGATGAAGGATGGCGCGGCCGGCCACGAGACTTTGGCAGTGGTGCCCGTGCACTGGTACTCTCCTGGGACGAAGCAGGGGATCCAGGTGGATATTGATGAGAATAAGAACATCAAATTCACTACACATTTAAATCACAAGCCTAGATGTTTCGACAACTGCCAGATAATCCATCCGAATCTAGGCTGTCGGATGGTCAAAGTTCTGAAGACACTAGGAAGGCCCCCCTGCCCTGCCAAAGTGTTCCGTTTGTCTCTCATGTGGGAGACGTGTCTACTTGCTCTGTGTAGTGATAAATTGTTTGCAAAGTCGAAGGCTAAAGCATCTCCAGAAGTGCGGCCCTGCAAATTATGCGGGCAAACCATGCAGGAAAGTCGGCTGACGTTCACATGCGCTGTCTGCCAGCTCACTTGGCATGGCGACTGCTCACGCAAGCTTGTCACGTCACCGCATGGGGTGGCCTCTCACATTCCAGAGGCACCAGAGGGTTTCATTCGGAATGTGTTTAAGCCAGCGTGCTGCTGCCATATGTGTCGGAGAATGTTTACCGCTTGAGACGATGCGCGCTCAGGCAGCGTGCCGCAGGCAGCATGCATGCAGCGTTGTGCTTTTGCTTGCAATAATAGTAATGAATCATGAACTTTGCTATTTGCTGGCTTGTCGCTCGCGAACGAGAGGTTAATGACTCGCAGTCCGCTTCAACTGATTCGTAACACGCAAGCTAGGTATTCACTCCGCTGACGCGGCCGGCGCAGGTCCGAACGCCGCGTCCCCTGGGAGCCCGTGGTATGAGGGTGGGGGAGGGGTGGGCGGGGGCCCCCTTCGGTTCCGCATGCTCGCATGCCACCATATGCTGATTGCCTAACACCCATCCATGGACATAGCCAATGCCGCGCGCAAGACCAGGGGCGGCGGGGGTCCTGGCGCCCTTCAGGCCCTTCAGGTCTCGTACCAGCTGAACCTTGGGCAAAGATCAGAGAGGATTGAACGGGGCGGAGCAGGGGAAGCAGGCGGCCGAGGAGCAGGAACACGAGGAACATGAGGAAGAGGAGCAGGAGGAAATAACAGAGGAGCAGGAGGAGGAGGGGGCGAGGGGGGAGGAGGAGGAGGAGGAGGAGGAGGAGGAGGAGGAGGAGGAGGGAGGGCAGGATTCCCATGGGGGCAGGGCTGGAAGGGGTGGGATGGCGCACCCACTCGGGCTTGGCCCACGGGGGCATGCATACTAAGCCACAGAGGGTTGCCTCGCCGAGAAGAGGTTGACGGGGTTCCGAATCCAAGTCCGACGAGGACAGAGGCGGCGGGAGTGATGAGCATCGGGGGGGAGGAATGGCAACATCCCAGAGTACTTCGGAAGCGGTTCGCCCCTTCCTCCTTCCTCCTTCTGGGCCGAGGCCCCTTCCTCCTTCCCCGCTCGCCCTATCGCTCTTTTTGCTCGAGCGACATCGCGATCTCGTTCCTCCTGTGCTACCTGTGCTACGAGGGGCGTCCGCGAGATGGGAAAGGCGCTTCTTTGCATTGGCAGGGGATAGCAGACAGCGTGGATGTAGGATGAGGACGAGGAGGAGGAGGAACGTCGCCCAGACCACTGAGGGCGAAGAGGAGTTGGAGGAGCGGAGGCGAAGAGCAACACCAGGGCCAGCCACGTGATAACCCATGCGATGCGATTTGGCATCAGGGCGTCGTGTCCGGATCCTGATCCCGACGGGGGGTGTTGAGATATGACTCTGACGATGTATCCTGGGAGAGGTGTGTGAATCAGATCCCGACGTATTATTCTATGCAAGATAATTGTGCGACGGATGTCTTCTGGAGAGAAAAATGTCAGGATCAGATTTTTGACAGGACATCTTCAGGAGGGTAGGTGTCGGGATCTGATCCCGACGAATGACGTCATAGAGGGTTTGTGATGGGATCTGATCCCGACGGTTGTATTTCCTGGCGGGTGGAGAATATTGGGATCAGATTCAGACGGGAAGTCTCCCGGGTGGTGTCGGGATCTGATCCCTGCGAAAGATATTCTGACAGGGGGGGGCGGGGGAAGATGTCGGGATCTGATCCCGACGGGGGTCATCTCCTGGATCATGGAGTGTCGGGGCCAGATCCCGACGGAGATCGGTATCTCAGGTGGGTGTCGGGATCTGATCCCGACGGGAGGTGTCCTGAGAGCGGGGGGGGGGGGGGGGGTGGGGGTCGGGATCTGATCCCGACGGGTGGTGTTTCAGAGGTAGGCGTCGGGATCTGATCCCCGACGGGGGTTCATGGGGGGAGGGGGTGTCGGGAATCTGATCCGAGGGGTGGTCTGGTAGGGGGGGGCGGGATCTGGACTTGGTTTTCCTGGAGGGAGTCGGGATCTGATCCCGACGGGTGGTCTCCGAGAGAGGGGCGTCGGGATCTGATCCCGACGGGGGGATCTGCTTGGAGTGGTGTCGGGATCTGATCCTGACGGGAGGTCTCCTGGGAGGTGAGGTGTCGGGATCTGATCCCGACGGGTGGTATTCAAGGGTATGCGTCGGGATCTGATCCCGACGGGGGTCTCATGGGGGAGGGGGGCGTTGGGATCTGATCCCGACGGGTGGCGTTCAGAGGTAGGCGTCGGAATCTGATCCCGACGGGGGTCTCATGGAGGTAGGGGTGTGGATCTGATTCGACGGGGGTGATGGGGAGGGGGGCGTTGGGATCTGATCCCGACGGTGGCGTTCAGAGGTAGGCGTCGGAATCTGATCCCGACGGGGGTCTCATGGAGGGAGGGGGTGTCGGGGGCCAGATCCCGACGGGTGGTCTCTGGTAGGGGGGGCGTCGGGATCTAATCCCGACGGTGGTTCTCCTGGGGGGGGGGGGGGGGGGGCGTCGGGATCTGACCGACGGTGGTTCTGGAGGGGGGAGGGGGGCGTCGGGATCTGATCCCGACGGGTGGTCTCTGGTAGGGGGGGTGTCGGGATCTGATCCCGCCGGTGGTTCTCCTGTAGGGGGGCGTCGGGATCTGATCCCGACGGGTGGTCTCTGGGATGGGGGTGTCGGGATCTGATCCCGACGGTGGGTGACTTTCGGATGGAGGGCGTCGGGATCTGATCCCGACGGCGGGGGGGCTCCTGGATGGAGAGCGTCGGGATCTGATCCCAACGGGTGGTCTTCTGAGGGTAGGGTGTCGGGATCTGATCCCGACGGGAAATCGATCAGATGTAGGTGTCGGGATCTGATCCCGACGGGAGACTGATCAGTGGAAAGTGTCGGGATCTACACCTGACGGGTGAAATCATGAGACGTAGGTGTCGGGATCTGATTTCGATGGAGGACCGCATGTATAAGAGGTGTCGGGATCTGATCACAATGTAGAGAGGGCTTGGAAGGATGTATCGAATTATCGCTCCGATGTAATAGACTCTGGAGGAATGACGTCGGCATCTGATGTCGAGAGATGCTCCTGGAGAGGCGTGCCGAGATCCGAATCAGACAGAATTATATTTGGGGCCCCGGAGCGATGCATTGAAAGCTGATCCCAACAATGAGAAATGCGATTGAAGATTGCCTAGATGTGTTTACGAATGATCCTCGGAGCCTGAAACAACGAGGGGGTATTAGGGATCTGTTTGGGGATCTCCTTGCTACAGGGAATAAATTCGTCGGAACGCTGGCTCCGACGTGAATGCGTCATAGCACGATGCTGCAGATACTCTCTGCTTCTTCTTCCGCATGCATCACCCTCCCCAAATATCCGTTAACCGTCGTTATCCTCCATTTCGTCGCCGTCGTCGCTCTCGTCATCGTCACAACCGTTATCGTGGCGATAACGTGCCCTCCTCTGCCCCTGACATCCTTCCCTCCTTTGAACATTTTGTTTATCGTCGAATCGTCCTCCGCGTCTACTATCCCTCCTCTCCCCTATTGTTTTCGTTCTACGTTTCTGTTTCATAGTAGCGCGGTGCTAAACAATGCGGCTTGCAGGTGGTGGCCTTGTTTGCCTTCTGCCTGCACCTGTGCGGGTTATCTGCGCAGGGCGTCGGCGAGGAGGCCATCGGCGTTCAGTGCGCGACCGTGCATTCCCAGGCGGACGCGGTTATGTGGGTTGAGCACGGACTATCGGTATTGCGTGCGCGTGGAATCCCAGACTTCCATGTCGAGTCTCAAATTGATGCCTTAACGTATTCAACTGCTTTCTCGGGCATCGACGCGCCAGGTACTGCGTTAGCCTTCCTCAGCTCAGCGTTTAATATTGACACAGCGAAACACCTCTGGGCGGTTGAGGCTGATCAGGAATGCCAGCGCGAACATCGATTGCATCCTCATGCACCTGAACACATCATGCCGGACATGCTCTCTGCGGTCACTACCTCAGTGCGCGGCCTTGTTGATCAGCACAGCGGTCGCGTGCCGCTCATCGCGCTGACAGACGCGCTCAAGACTGGCCGCATGGCACGGCAGGCCGCACAGTGCATCTTGCATCCTGGGCGCTCGTGCCTCTACTGCAAAGCGCATGTGCACATTGCTGGAACCCCGTGCATCGACTTCAGTGCCGATGGCAAGAGGAAGTTACTTTCAGGCGACTGCCTCGCGCCCCTGATCGCGTGGCTGGCCCAGAGGATGCTGTTGGCGGAGCCAGCCATCCTGCATGAGAATGTAGAGGCCTTCCCAATTGAATTGCTGATGGCCATATTCTCGTAGATGTACATCATCTACGCGTGTATCGTGGACTCCAAAAATCACGGCAAGCCCATTCGTCGGCGTCGGAGGCTCACCTGGGTGCTCAATAAAGGCTGCTACCGCACTCCGCTCATGAAGTGGCCCGAGGCCGTTCCTTTGTTCGAGCGCGAGTGCATGTTGAGCTACAGGGACTTTCTCGTCGTTTCGGAGGAAGAGATCCACGACCTGCTGAAGTGGAAACGCAATTGGAAATCCAAGATGCGCATGACGAGTAAATCTTCGACGAACGACGACTTGCCCAAGGAGTGTTTGGCACGGTACGAGATCGAATTCTTGGTGGCTGGAGTACAGAAACTGGGCTGCCATGGAGTTGTATCGTTGACGCAGAGCCCTTGCCTGAACGTCATCTCGAAGGCCGGCGAGATGTTTACCCTGACCACGAAGAACTTCTTGAACTGGATCATCGAGCGCTCCCGCCCCATGACGGCTGAGGAGATGCTCGCTTTCCAGGGCTTTCCGGCGTTGAGCGCGCTGGACAGGGGAATCGAAATGTTGGGTTCAAGTGCTCGGGAAACCGTTCTCCCAGGGTCCCAGGGGCTTCTGGAAGAGGGGTGTCCTGTGTTCCTGTGTTCTTGTGTTCCTGTGTAGTCCTGGGGCCCTGTGGGTCCTGAGGGTCATCGCAGGAGCCACCCGACGGCGTGGTCTTGGGAATGCGGATAAAAGGCCAAGGGTCCTTTACCTTCGGCTCGGGGTTCGAAATCTCTCGCCAGGAGCAGGGGCCTATCGCGTGCAGCTTCCAGAGAATGAGGGCGGCCGACGAACCGCGCAACCACCAGGGTTTTGCGCAGCAGGCAGGCAATTCGATGGACGTTCACGCCATCGGGTTCTCCTTCCTGTGGCTTTTCGGCTTCGCTCGCTCTCCCTGCTCCGACGTTGGCCCGAACAGCTCGGGTCAGAGTCAGAACGCCGCGCCAGAATTCTTCAAACGCATTGTTCGGGCTCGGAAGTTGAGCAAGTCCGAGAGTGGCCCGCCAGCACCCGCATCGAGCAAGCCATGCGCGCCGCAGCATCAGCCCAAGAGGGCGCGAATTGACCCCTTCCACTAAGTGAGTGCACGAGTTGCGTGACTGCATGTGGACATTTCGATTTCTAGCTGTCTGTGCGGGCGGCTACGTCGGGCGAGTTGCCAGGATTCCAGGGCTTGCATTGGACATGATTGTCACCATTGCTTATTGTTTGCTACCTGTTCGATTCAGGGCGAGTGCCCAGGGCAGAGACCGTCGCCCGTCGTCGTCGTCGTCGTCGTCGTCGTCGTCGTCAACGTCGTCGTCTCGTCGTCATCGTCATCGGTCGTCGTCGTCGTCGTCGTCGTCGTCGTCGTCGTCGTCGTCAACTCGATCCCCATCGGGGCCCCATCGCCCTCCATCCCCTTGGCCATCCCTGTCCAGTCCATGTCCCATGTCCCTAGGGCCTTCCCTCCTGCCTGTCTCCCTCAGCGCCTGAGGCCTTCGTATTATCCTCGCCTGCTGGGCTCAAGCAAGACGCCTTACCCAGTGTGGCGACTTTCGGAGCGTTTGGTCGATTCGGTTGGCTGCCCAGCCCAGTCCACCCCAGTTCACATCCTTCAGGCGTCGTTCGGCGCAATGGCCGAGCCTGCTTCGAAAAAAAATAAGGTTTCGGCGAAGACGACCCCCTCGCCGATCGGGGCCGACTCCTCCGGCTCTGGCCCCGCCCCTGCGGCGGCGGCCGCAGCCGGATCCGTGTGCGACTCCCTCTATGGCACCCGCAAGAACGTCCGCGAGCGCTGGCCAGACATGTCTCCTGGCGGGGCCCGTGGGGCAGAGAAGCAGCCGGGGCCGCGAGGGTGGCAAGGAGGAGGATGCGATGGCGGAGCAGAAGGAGGAAGGAAAGGGCGGTGATGAGCAGGGCGACCCTCCTCGCGTTGCCCTCATGTTTCATTCCTCCTTTCTCCTCCTGTGCCGATTCTGTGCCCCCTCCTTCTCTTCCTCCTTTCACTCCTCCTCCTCCTCGTCATCCTCATCTTCCTCCCAATTTCCTTCTCGTCGCCCTGCCCCCATCTCCTCCATCCTCCTCCTCCTTCCCCATCCCCACGCCTTCCCCTCCTCTTCCATCCCCCCTCCTCCTCCCTCTCCTCTTTTCTGCTGCTTGACGGGCAGGGTCAGCGAGATCGACGAGGAGATATCGAAGTGTTACAATCGCCGGGTGGTCTGGCGGCCGTGGTTCAACTCAATTGGCGAGGCCCTCATCAAACGGCGCCGCGTGAACAATCGGAAGCAGACCGCAGTGGTAAATAACTACAAGAAGATCATGATGGAGGAGGTTCTCGAGGAGGACAACCGTAACATGCCGATTGGGGTCCCGGGCGAGGGCGCGGAAGTGGACATGACGTACCTCCTTGGCGGCGCTACCACATCCGAGGAACATGGGGGGTGAACGCGTAAATGAGACTCGGCATGGACGGGGAGAGCGAGAGAGGATGAAGGAGGGAAGGAGGGATAGGGTGAAGGAGGGATGGGGGGAGAGGGATGGGGGGAAGGAGCTTGGCTGGGGATCGGTGGAGGGAGGGGGGGGGGAGGGGGGGAGAGAGACGTGATGTCAGATTGGCGCCCAGGCCTTCTACCAGGCCTACGCCGAATGTAAGGAATCGGGCGCGGAGACTCCCAACATCTCAATTATCGCAAAAAGGGGGTACCGCGTGGCGTTGTTTGACAGGCTTCCCGACGGCGTTGCCATATATACGAAAGCGAAACACAACAAATCTATGTTTGGTTCCAGTTTCACGTTAGTGGGAACGTACGAGCGCTGCCCCGACCTCAACGTGATGTTTGAGCAGTACAGAGATGCCAAGAAATTCACATCGCGTTCCTGCGCCAAACAAGGCACATTGGCATGGGTCTCAATCGCCCTCGGGGCAGGGTGTCGAAGTTATCCGCCCTCGGTTCACCTCCCTCCTCGCTCCTCCTCCTCCTCCTCCTCCTCCTCTTTCCTCGGTCCTCCTTGCCGTCGTCTCCTCCTCCTCCTCCTCCTCCTCCTCCTCCTCCTGCTCGCCCTAGTTCACGTCCTGCCCCCCGTCTGGCGGCCCCCATCCCCCGAACCCATGGCCCTCTGGCCCCCTTGCCTCGCCGCCTCTTGGCCCAGCAATGACAGGGGCGGGCCACCCTTTTAAACTTGCGACTGCATGCGCCCCTTCGGGAGGGGGGTGGGCGTGAGAGGGAGAGTGAATGCGCGGCGGGCGGGCTGCGTTGAGGGTAGCCTGGCAGAAGGCGAATACACGCGCGAGAAAATCATGCGCCGCTTCATCTTGGAGAAGGACAACGAGGAGGAAACGCCAGCCTTCAACGACAACTTCAACACGTTTGATAAAGGGCTTTGGTTTTACAAGAGAATGAGCGAAAACGGATGGTGGGAGGAGTGCAAGACCATGTTGGAGGACAATTGCGATTTCCTCGACCGGTCCTTCAAATCCGAGTTTGCCGTTTCCGTCAACTACCGCTGGCACAGGAACATATTGCAGGGTGCGTTGGCGGACCTGGCAGACTACGCCCAAAAAGTTTCAACGATGATTGGGCTGGAGATGTGCGTCCCCCTGATCGACGAAGGTGAGGACCGCCTCCCGTGGATTTTCAACCCCTCCATGAACGTCAGCGCTGCTGAAGATCTGATGGATCCGATCGCCACCCCCATGGGCGGCGCGGTCTCGTACGCCAAGGCCATGGCCAAGGCCGAGGCCAAGGCCAAGCACCAGCCGAAGAAGAAGAGCAAGGCGACGGACACGACGGCGGAGACGACGGAGACGACGGGCGAGGCCACGGCGGCAGCTCCCACGGCCGCGGGGTCCGATGCGCCAGCGGATCCGCTGGCGGAGTCCGGGCTGGCACTCCTGGAGGGGGGCGGCTTCGATTTGGGCGATGCCCTTGCGAATGCAAAAACGCCAGAGGAGAGGAAGGCCACCATGGCTGCTATGAAGGCCAAGTTGAAAGCCCAGATTGCTGCACTCGGGGAAGGTAGTGATGGTGATCAGCAGGCAGAGGATCCGCAGCCTCAGGCTCTGATCCCATCCTCCCCCTCCCTCCTCCTCGTCCTCCCATCCCTTCCCCCTATCAATCTCGACTCTCCACTCTCCTCCCTCTTCCTCCTCCGCCTCCTACTCCTACTCCTCCTCATGCTGCTCAGGGTAAGAAGGCCAAGAGCAACGGCAAGGGCAAGGGCGGCCAGGGCGCGGGCAGGGGCCGCGGCAGAGGGCGAGGCCGCGGCAGGGGCAAGGGCGGCGAGGCCGGTGATCCCGCTGTCACGCTTGAAATGATCACAACAGAACATTTCTCTGCTATTACCAGCACCGGCCGCGAGAAAGTCTGGCTCGACGACATGTGGATCGCTTTGCTGGGGCCTTTCGAGTTCGTGGCAGAGAGGGCCAACGTTGACTTTAAGGAAATGTTCGACAAGCTCGATTATCATCACTTGTGCAAGAACGTCAGGATCTGCCTCAAGTTTTGCTTCAGGCGCGAAGCCAAGTTGGACAATGGCAAGACAACTAACAAATGGTCAGAATTGCGGAAAGAGCGCAGGACTGCCATGATTTCGACGAACAGCCATGTGCCGATGCAGTATGGCGCCTCGATCAAGGCGGCACTCCTGAGCGCTGGAAAAGGAGAGCAGGAGGCAGCAGACGCGGCGTTTAGGCCAGATGCGCTGACGTCGGCCATCATGAACCTGCTTGAGCACGACACCCCCGCTGTCTTCTTGGGCACGATGGAGGATGCAGACGAGAAGGCTGATCTGACAGCCGACCTGGATCAACTGAAGGTGTACTTCTCAGACCAGTCGTCAATGCTGGGCCTCTTAGGTTTCCTGAAGGAGAACGCGCCCAAAAGGATCCCGACTTCGCGCCCTGCCTGCAGGAAATGCATTGGTCAGGCCACTGGGCAGCTGCAAAGTTGACGCCACATCCTCTTTGAATGTCCTGTGTTCCTTCCTGGATTCCTTCCTCCTCCTCCTGCCTCCTGCTCTCCTCCTGCTCCCCCCTACTCCTGCTCCCTCCCTATTTCTCCTTCCTGCTCTCTGCTCCTCCTCCGTTCTCCTCCTCCTGCTCCTGATCACGTGGAGGGTCAGGGGTTAGGGTTAGGGGTAAAGGGTTAGGGGGGGCAGGGTTCGGGCTAGGGTGGTAGGGTTAGGGCTAGAGTGGGATAGAGTTAGGGTTAGGGGGATAGTATTAGGGAAGGTGCTAGGGTTGGGCGGACGTTTGGGGTTAGTGCGATGACCATCAAATAAAACATGCAATTAACCCTTCTCCACTGATCACGGCCGCTTTCGTTTTCACCGATTTCAGTTTCCTCCTCGCTCCTAGCCTATCCCTGCTTCCTGTCGTTTCTCATTCGTCCGCCCGAGGTGAAACTGATGCTGTTCTCAGCCGGCGAGGACGGCGACGAGGAGCTCGTCAACGTCAAGCACGTGTTCCTGGAAAAGGTGATCTCCGAGGGCACTGCTGCGCTGGACGGGGT